CGGCCGTTTTGGTTTGGTACCGAAAGGGGAGCAGTAAAAACGGTTTTAAGGATTACGGGCATTTTCGCTTATTGTGGAGATTATAAGTTGTTTGCGGAATATTAGGGAACAAATAAGAGGGAATAGGCAAGGAAATTTGTAGGGGGCAATAGGGGGGGCCCCGGAAGGTCGATTTTGAAGGGCATGGCATGATTCGAGAATTTTTAGAGAACGGGGGGAGTTGGGTGATGGAGGTGTTTTGGGGTTTTAAGTTTGGGAAAGGCTGCTTATGATAGTGTAGAAAGGAAAGCGTTATGGGGGTTTTTTCATGCATTGGCAAGGTTTTGGGGTGGAAAATAATTTTGGGCAAATTTTGTTAGGGGGCGTTGTTTTGAGGGTCAGGTTAAGGGAGGCTAGGAGTTAAAATACAATGCGACGGGGACTGCGCCAAGGTTGCCACTATCACAAATATTGTTTGCGTGTATACAGGATCCATTTTATAGGGCCATTCGGAGGTGTGTTGCGGGAGGTGGGGATGGTACTGACCGGGGGGAGGTGGGGGCTGGTTCGTAGTTTATGTGGATGACACGACTGTTTTGGTGAGAGGTAATGGGAATTTGCTTAGGGTGGGTAAGGTGGTGGATGTGTTTGGGGAGGCTTCAGGTATGAAAATTAATGTAAAGAAAAAGGACACAAGTGCAACTAATGTGACATTTATTGTGGCAACGTTTCGCTCTCCAGGAGCTTTATCAAGCCATTACAAACAATACATGGACACAGAGGGTATATAAAGGCTCAGAGTGAGGTGAATACTAGTGAGGTACCATTTCGATGTTCACTAGTGTAGTAGTAGTAGTAGTAGTGGTAGTGACAAAAGTAATACAATATGGTAGAGCAATTAATTCGTACATGAGTAAAAGGATATAAAAGCTATACTTGGGTAACATAAAAATAGGTTGGACAAATATAAACTGGAATGAGGCAGCTTGTTTCAGTGTTCACTCTCTGTGCTTTGTGTAGTGTAACAGGAGAGACTATGTGATGGCAGGGTTTACTGTTTTTAGGAGGATTCTTGCTAAGACTTCGGAGATGGTGAAGCTGCCGTTGTTTTGTTTAATTGTATTCGAAACAGCGATCAGTGCTGATTCAAGGCACTTGCGGTGTGCGGAAATTAGTTTCTTTTATCACTAATTGGGCGTCTCTGAATTTCATAAGATGATTGGTGGAATTTCGGTGTTGTACACAGGCGTTGTTTAAGTTGTCGTTCCTACATGCGTATATGTGTTCATTGAGGCGGGTGTCGAGGTTTCTTGCTGTTTCACCTACGTAGATCTTGTCACAGCCTCCACAGGGTATAGTGTAAACTCCTGCATTGACTGGTTCGTGGTGCTTGGGTTTTGTCCTGGTTAGATCCTTTATTGAAGTGGTAGAAGCGATGGCGACTCTGGTGTTAGCTTGTGAAAGTACTTTTGAGACGTTTAGTGCAACCTGGCTGTTGGGAAGAATTATAACTTTGTTGAAGCGGTGTTGATGCGTGGAGAATTGATGATCTGAAGAGCTCTTTTCTTGCAGTCTTTGATGAAAAAAAGGAGGAAATTGTAACTCAGTGAATGTTTGGTGAATGTAAGTACATTCCTCGTCAAGAAAACTCAGGACTACAAATTCGGTATGCTCTTAGGAAAACCCGATGATGATGCCTCTTTTGGTCTTGGTATCTTGACTGGAATAGAAGTGTGTGAGATCATTTTTATTGGTGGGTTTCCGATAAACTTGAATCTTAGGTTGTTGTCTACTTTGTGAATGAGGACGTCGAGGAAAGGTAACTTGTCATTGACTCTTCTTCTAGTGTAAACTGAATCGCTGGTTCAACTGCGTTGAGCCTTGCCTGAAGATCCCGTACATCAAAACGTTTTGGAGTTATTACGAGACATCGTCCACGTAACGTAACCAAGTGACGCTTGAAGGATGATGTTGGCGAAGTGTTCGGACTCTAGGTGTTCCATGTATAAGTTGGCTAGGACGGCACTTATTGGGGACCCCATTCCCATGCCGTAGGTTTGTTTGTAGAGCTTGTAATTGAAGGAAAAACAGTTGAAGTTAACACAGAGTTCAATCAAGTCAACAAAATCTCGCGGGAGGTAAAGGAAGATTAAGGTCCTGGTTGACTTTACGTCGTAGAACCTCGATGGCTGTTTTGGTAGGTTCTTTTGTGAAGTGGGAAGTCAACATCAAAAGCTTTAGTTTCTTGTTAGGATGGAGAGGATAAGGAAGCGGTTGAGAAGGTGTATGAGGGCTTTAAGATGACGGGGCTGATGGGTCCCCAGAAGGGAGGAAAGTGTTTGGCAAGAACTCGGGTAGTTTGTGTGGAGCACTGCCTATTCCGAGTGATTGGTTGAGAGGAATATTTGTGTTTAGGGTTTTGGGTAACCATACATGTGTGATGGTTTAGGGTTGCTTGTGTAACAAAGTACAGAAGTTTTACATCTCTAGTGGTTTAGTATTTGTTGGTTTGTATAGAAAGTCTTTGGTGAGCGTGCCCATGTGGAGTGCTGATGGGTTTTATGTAGATTGAGTCGAACACTTCGAACATCAGCCTTCAAAGCGTACTTGGTTAGTTACTTGGACGATGTCTCGATAATAACTCCAAAGTTATTAGTACGGGATCTTCAGGAAGGACTCAACGCAGTTGAACCAGCGATGCGTTTACACTAGAAGGGAGAGTCCAATGAAATTACCTTTCCTCGACGTCCTCATTCACAAAGTAGACAACAACACGATTTCAAGTTTTCGGAAACCCACCAATAAAAATGATCTCACACACTTTATTACAGTTCATGATACAAGACATAAGAGGCATCATATCGGGTTTTCTAAGGCTACCGAATTTGTAGGTCCTGTGTTTCTTACGAGGAATGTACTTACAATTCACCAAACATTCACATGTGTTAAAATTTCTCCTTTTTTCATCAAAGACTGCAAGGAAAAGAGCTCTTCAGATCATCAATTCTCACGCATCAAACACCGCTCCAACAAAGTTATAATTTTCCAACAGCAGGTTGCACTAAAGTCTCAAAAGTACTTTCACAAGTAAACACAGAGTCGCCATCGCTTTTCACTTCAATAAAGGTAATCTAACAGGACATAACCAAGCACCACGAACCCGTCAATGCAGGAGTTTACACATACCTGTGGAGCTGTGTGACAAGATTACGTAGGTGAAACAGCAAGATAACATCGACACGCCTCAATGATAAATATAATCATGTAGGACGACACGTAAACAAACGCCTGTGTACAAAGAAATTCCACCAATCTCTTTGAATTCAGAGGGGAGCCCATTATGATAAAAGAAACTAATTTCCGCACACGAAAGTTCTTGGAATCAGCACTGATCCGCTGTTTCGAATACAATTAAACAAACAACGGAGCTTCCAATCTCGAAGTCTTAGCAAGAACTCCTATAACAGTACCATGCCATCACATAGTCTTCCTTTCACTAACAAAGCACAGAGAGTGAACACTGAAACAAGCTGCCTCTTTCTGGTTTATATTTGTCCAACTATTTTTATGTTACCCAAGATAGGTTATATCCTTTACTCTTGTACCGAATTAATTGCTTACCATATTGTATTACTTTTTTCACTACCATACTACTACTACTACTACCAGTAGTTGTACATCGAAATGGTACCTCATAGTATTCACTACTTGAGCCTTTTATACCCTCTTTTGTCATGTAATGTTTGTTATGCTTGATAAAGTTGGAGAGCGAACGTTGCCACATAAGTCAATTTGTTGCACTTGTGTCTTTTACTTTTACATATTGTCGGTAATTCTACCATCTTTATTACATGAAAATTAATGTGGAAGAATATGTTCTAGACCTAAGAGATAGTACAAATGGGGATGATGTGGTACGGGGTGGGTGGATGGTGGTGGACAAACTAAATGATATGTGGGATAATTTAATGTGAGAAAATACAGGGTGGCTCAAGAGGTGATTTCGGTGTGGAATAGTGGATGGAGTAATGAAAAGATTGGTGGTTTGAGGGCGGCGCAACTAACGCTGCTACAACGATTATAGTGAGGAACGTGTATTGTACAGAAAGATATGGCAGTCGTTG